CAATGTCTCTTATGCTTTTTATGGAATCTTGACAGTATCTGTGTTAAAACTAATTTGTTCAAAATATTTGTCTTATTCTAAACTCCTGTCCTCTCTCTCTCTCTCTCTCTCTCTCTCTCTCTCTCTGTCTCTTTTAATTTCCCTCACGGAGAGGGACCTAGGTTGCAAGGCTTTCTATAGTTAGACCCCACTTACCTCTCTTTCTCTCTCAGCTACTCTGAATAATTAGGCTACTCTTCACTGACTGGTACAAACAAAAGGCATGCATGTTCTGTCTGTACGTCTTCTTAAAGTATCTTCTTGTCTGGGATGCTCGTACCTTTCCTCCCTGGTTATTTATCTTTCAGTTTAAATTCCGTTTTTCGACCATTCAACCCGCTATTTGAGGTCTAATATGTGTCCCATTCCCTGTCTGGGTGTGGGGTGTGTGTGAACAAGAGGCATGGAGTCCTGGGTCTCAGAGGTCCTTTAGTTTAGAGGAAGACAGAAACAGGCAATGATTGATGAGCCCTGTGTTGGGGAAACACAATGTTGTTACATGGTTTCCCCTAAAGTTTTCTTTAACTGCCCCAACTTTCAGATTACATTTTCTCTTTTCAACTTCTAGGAATGCAGTTTGTTTCTACAGCCCTTTTTCCTCTTAGTGCGTTTATCCTTTCAGACTAATTTATAAAGCTCTGAGTTCTCTGTCTTAGGTCCTGATAAAGAGTAAGCAATAGGGGCTAGCACAGTGACGAGGCAGGCTAATCCTCAGCCTGCAGTGTCAGCACTCCATATGGGTGCTGGCTTGAATCCCGGCTAGAGTACTTCTGGCTCAGCTACCAATATGTGTCCTAGGAAAGCAACAGAAGATGGCTCAAGTGTTTGGGCCCCTACACCCTCATGGGAGATCCTGGCTTTGCATCATCATGTCAGCTCTGCCTGTTGCGGTCATTTAGGGACTGAATTAACAGATAATACATCTCTCTCGTCTCTGTCTCTCTCTGTCTCTCTCTCTCTCTCTCTTCTCTCTGTCAATCGGCCTTTCAAAATAATAAAAAAATAATAATAATACATTTTAAAAAGAATAAAAGCTAATTTTTAAAAAATTGCCCCCTAGGGCTTGCATCAAATAATAAATTAAGAGGAGCTTCTTACTTTATTGCTTTAATAAGAATGTGACATTTACATTCTACTATAGTAATGGAGTGGCTTTGTGCATAGGGATACCATGTGTCATGGGCTAACTGTTGTCTGAAAGATCCCTCACTAAGGGGAAGAAAAAGAACTACAACCCAGCCTGTCTTCATTCCCTGGGTTCCCTCGGGGATGCCTGGTCTAGGAGAGAGAGCTCTTCTGGTTCATCCCTAAGCAGATATGAGCAGTATCAATCCTGCTGAACCTCCACCCTCATCCATTCTCTTCCCCTCCCCTGTCTCCTGTCCCCAAGGCTGAAGAAAGGGCAGGCATTTGGTGCTATGGTGAGGACACCAGTGGGGAGGCCTGCATTCCATGCTGCAGTGCTTGAATTCAAGTCCTATCTCTACTTTAGGTTCTGGTTCCTGCTAATCAGCTGTCTTGGAGGCAGTGATGATGGCTCAGGTGGCCGAGTCCCAGCTGTCCACATAGCTTTACTCTGATCTGGCCTCTGCCAGTGGTGGACATTCGAAGAGTGAGCATAAGTCTCCTTCTCTTTATGTTTCTCTTTCTCTCTGTGTGTGTCTTTCTGTCCCTCTCCTTTTGAAAATAAACGAAAAAGAAATACTTTGTTTTTTTAATGAAACTGACTATAGATATTTAGAAACTTGCCTCATTAGTCACAGGGACAATCTGACACCTCTTTAGCTTCAGTCTGTTTAAAAATATTAACTTTAAAAATGTTTTTGTTTATTTGAAACACAGAGGGCCAGAGGGGAATCTCCATGCCCTGAACGTTCCCAAAAGGCAGCAGCCGGATCAGGGAGCCGGCAGCTCCACCCGGGTCTGGGATCTGGGGACAGTTGTATCCCTTGGGGCACACTGGAAGGAAACTGGAATTGAGCTCAGGCCCTCTGATAGGAGATGCTGATGACCCAGGTGGTGGCCTAACCACTAGGTCAAACACGTGGCCCTAAAAATGCTTGTCTTTTGATCCCTTCTCCTCCTCAGCTCAACATCTTGCATAATCTCTATTTGCTTAGATTTTTCCTACAAGAAAGATGCCTCCCAGAGGGCTCTTGGGCAAACGTTCTTGAGGACTACGGCTACCCTCAAAATTGAAGGGGCAGTACTGTGTTTATTTTTTAATTACTTAAGTTTACATTGTTCATCTTGAAATATTGTTAATGTCATTGTGCATTTTAATAGAATGTATTTCCTGGAAATTACAAGTTAAATTAATGGCAGTAAACTGGAAATAGTTGTTGTCTCCTCCCAGAATGATGCAAATTATAATTACAAAATTTTAATGTGGTTCAGTAACAAACTTAAAATTTTAAAATTTTTTTCTTCATGCCCATTATTAAATTTTTTCTATTATAGGTATTTTGCTTCATTTTTTATTTAAGTTAAATAAATTTACATTAAGTGAAAATTATCAATATTATAGTACTAATATAACTGACATCATAAATTATATGTTTAAATAAACAGAGCCAGGTATAAAATGCATTTCTGTTGAGTCTAGAATTTACCAAAGAACCAGTGCAGAGCATTTTTATGTTAATTCAGTGTGTTTCTGTCAATTTGCTAGTAACCTGGCAAAAGTGACAGATGTGGAAGATGGAGAAAAATATACAAATCATAGTAGTTAGGTGGTTTACTTAAGAAAGGCTGAAGACTATTTTTATGAGAATAACTGTGAAGTTTCAATCATTCCATTTAGCATTCCCGAATTGATCTTGATAAAGCGTGCTTGTTTTTTTGTATATTTTTATTATTTAAATAAAGTAACTCCTGCATTTTAAAACTGAAGAAAAACCCTAGCACTAACATTCAGCCCTTCTGGTTGTTTTGGATCTGTGAGAATTATTGTACAGGGGCAATAGTAAGCCTAACATGCAAAGAAAGTTAATGCTCTCTCTCTCAACACAGGAATTGAGTTGGGAGTGTGGAAGAACTGGGTTGGGTATTACTGAAATCAAAATAATTAGCGTTTAATTAAAGCAAATGCTACCTTTTATTTTCAGTGAACAAGAAAGGGATGTAAATAAAACCTGGGAGTGGCAACATTCCTCGTCAGTGGCACAGATATTATGGACAGAAAGTAAGACGTAGTCTACAGAGTCAGGGATGTATTCAATGCACACTTCAGCAAAATAGTGTTAGAAATGCTATAAAATGATTTCTTATTGAAGTAAACAAAAGGATAGTTCACTTCAGTGTTACCTTTTTGTATTCTTTGTTCATACAGTAATTACTAAATATACATACTGTAAGTTACATATTTTAGGAGAGCCAGTTTTCTTATGAGAGATCTAGATGTTTATGCTGTTTACTTTTTGAATCACTTCGAATGCGTGTTAAAATATATTTAAAATGCTTAGTACTTTATATAGGAGAACCAAGCTTATTTAAGGATTAAAGACACAGGCTTTAAAGTTGAACAAGTCTTGGTACAGGTTCCAGATCTTAAATGTATTAGCGCTATAACCTTGGGCAGTTATATAACTTTTTTCAAGCCTTAATTCATTTTCAAATAAAATTTGAACCTTGTAAAGTTGTTTAACGATTAAATATAATGATGTTTTTTAAACATTTAGCTTAGCACTTAACTTAGAGGATGCAATAAATAGTAGCTCATACAAATAGGATGTAGCTTTTTCCTGCATAACATACAGCTTGTCTCAAGGTCTTCCTTTTGTTCATTCAACTTAAATTCTTTTTTTTAAGATAAGAGTCTTAAATGTTTGCGTGATCATCGCCTAATTTCATTTATGCTTAAACTTTTACACAGTGTTCTTTTAAAAAATGTGTGGAGTGTAAATATTTTTCTTAAAAAAAGTCTGATGATCAGGTGTTTGTCAGGCACTTGGAGGGCAAGCTCATTTCTCCTCTGCTTAGCTAATTATTGTGATTGTAAACAAAAGATGTACAATTCACAGTCAAGCAAGATTTCACATGGATGATGGAAGTGATAATAGCTTAATTCCTGCTGGATCTTTTTTCTCTGCTCTGGCAAGTTCATACTGACCTTGTCCAAAATCTGATGACCTTCCTATTTTACTCCACTTTTCAGAAAGCCAGGCCTGCCAAGGTTGGCCCTGAGGGGGTATCTGAAAGACCACTGAGCCACTGACCCATGTCAAGACTGGATTTCAAGTCTAATCTACAGGGCCTCTGAAATACTTATATATGGGGTTGATTGCACACAAAAGCTTTACCGACTATGTTTTTCTGCTTATTAAATGTTCAATTGAAGTATCTTTAAAGTGTCATTACTCAAGACATATTTTTAATTTAGTCTCTTTCTGCAGGTCATCTTCTAGACTATTAATTGTGGTCTTTCAATAGGGTTAAGTATCTTAAAACTGAAAATGCTTTGAAATGTGAGGGGAATAAAATATGCTGCCAAATAATAGGAAATACACTGAACCCATCTTCCTGGTTAATGAAGGGTCCGAAGACGTGCCATTTTAATGCTTGTGTTATAAACATGGGTGGGATTTCTGGCAACACTTCTTTATCTTTCATGTAGAAAATTTAGATGTTGTGACAGCCTGGTGATCTCTGTTTAAATCTTGTGAAATCTCAATTATTACTCAAATATGGGTACTTAATATTTTTGAGTGTAGGAGTTGTATCCTGAAAACAGAAAAAAGCCTATGGATTTTATTGATACGAATAAGATATTACTTAGAGGTGATTGGATAGTTCTGCCTACTTGACTAGAAACTTTGTGACAGCTCTAGGATACAATCCGATGATGGAAAAAATGTTTCCTGTGTTTGTTTTGTTCTGCACAACCGTGAATAATCAAACTCTGTTATGCATCTCTAGCTGATGTCCTTCGGTTTATAATATTATCTTTTCTTTTTCTATAGGAGTTGATTCCTGAATTTTACTATCTTCCTGAGATGTTTGTCAACTTCAATAACTACAATCTCGGAGTGATGGATGATGGAACAGTAGTGTCTGATGTTGAACTTCCTCCCTGGGCCAAAACCTCTGAAGAATTTGTCCGCATAAACCGACTGGTAAGAGAGTGATCATCTCTGAATTGAGGCTGTTCTCTAAGCATCTTTCATGTGTTGGTTCATAATCATTAGCCCTCGTTGTGCTGAACTAAGATGACTGAACGTGACATAATAGTTAACGAGTTGCTACATGTGCTTTGATAAAACTTTATTCAATGGAAACGTATAGTGATTCCTCTTACTTTTTTCTTTGATGCAGAATTCAGGTGAGTTTCATGTTATATATGACGATTGAAATGATAAGGAAAAGTTCTCGGTGAAGCTAGAATTGTATGTTTTTCCAAATGTGGTTTTCTCCCACCCAGAATGGAGCATAATTTTATGTCCCAGGTTCGAAGGCGAAAGTCACACATTTCAGTAAAAGAGATAAGATTTTTGTGTCCTGTATGTGTCGATCTTTTGAAGAGAAGTTTTCATTTACTGTTTTAGATTATGAAACTTTAAAAGCTGATAGTAATTACTGTGCTTACAGAGCTCTCTAGCATCCCGTATTGCTTGGGCTCTGAATTAATTTTGTGAGAGAAAAATACAATTTTCATTTTTACTTCAAAAAAGGTTGGAATAAGGGAATTTTACTCTCATTATTTAAAATCTACCAGTTTGCAGACAGTTATTTGCAGGTATGTGTCAGTGTGGCCATCCATGTTCATTTCTCCTTTAGGAGTGGGAACCTGTATCATGTGACAGCATGCTTTCACTGTGCCATTTTTATGCCCTCCAGTAAAGCTGTGGCTTTTCTGTATCTGCCAAGACTGATATTATTCTTGCCTGCTTTGGTCAGTAGCACCTACCCTGTTCTCAGTTGAAGTCACAGTACCCTAGTGACCAGTGTCATTGAAATGATAAGGGGAAGTTGTAAGTGACACTAGAATCGTATGCCTTTCCAAGTGTTTATTTCTCTTGTCCAGAAAGGGCCGTTGTCTCACGGACTTGCTTGCCAATCATCTATGTTCTTTACTCAAATCTTCCACCTATTTTTAGACTGAGTTGTTTCATCTTTTTAGTTGAAATTGTAAGAGATCTTTATTTATCCTCCATAAAGGTTCTTTGTCTAACAGATATTTTTTTATGTCATCTCTGGTCGTCTTTTAGCTTTGTGGTGTTGTTTTTTGAACCACCATTTGAAAAAGGTTTGTGCTAAATAGTAGATCAACATAAAGGTAATATTTATAGTATGTGAGAAGAATAGAGTATCATCCCTGTTCTTGAGGGGTTGTTTCCTTTTTTTTTTTAAGAAAAATAATTAAATGGTGCTTTGATATTTCAATGCTTGAAGCACCCTTTCTCAAATATTATTTACGATGTTCAATCCCAGGGGAACCAGCTCTTCAATCATCATTATCCTAATTTGAATTATTCAAGTACAAAGAGGTTGGTACATTTATGTCATTTTGAGAGCTGAGAGGCAGAAAAATGAGAATAAATCCTGTTTATATAGTTTTTCAGCAGTGTTCGGACAGGAGAGCTGGGCCAGGTATTCTGGTTGTACTTCTCCTGTCCCCATGCCTTCTCAGAGGAGTCCCAGCCTGTTGGGTGCGGGTTTCCCAAGAGCACCCAGAAAAACAAGGTCGCCACTTTCTAGCTTCCAGTCAAATGTGGGTTTTGGCTGCCTGGGCTCAAACCATAGACATGATTGTGAAATTGTAAGGAAATAGTATTATTAATATTAGCTGCACATTTACTATAACATTATTATGTTTACTTAATGGTTTTTTTCCCCCCTGGAGATTCCTGGGAAAGATGGGAAGAGTTTCACAGATGTCTTTGTAGCTTAGGCTTACAAATATCTTACCTTCCCAATCAGGACTGCATAAAATTCTCTGTAAATCAAATTGAAGTAAAATTTAGAGTTGAATAATTACATTTCTGATCATTTAAATTCACAATTAGGAATGAAAACTTGAGTTTAGGTGTGTGTCTACATGAACGAACGTGAGAGCTGAAATACTTGCAATGTCCCTGTGATGCACAAAGCTTTCCCAGTATGTATTGGTGCATTTTACAACTTACTGTTAACTTTCTGTAAGTGACAAAGTTGTTTGAATGGTGCTTTATGTCTCTATTAGCATGTTATCACATCAGGGCTTTATGCCCTCCCCTTTTTGGTTTACTTCTTCCAGTCCACAGATTTTATGCAATGATTGTAGCTCATGAAATGCATACTACTTTGATCTGTGACCTTTCTGTGGTGCTAATCGGGTTCCTGATATCATTATACCTTACTCATTAATCATATTTCCTGCAGCCCGTCAGGCAGCCAGACAGCACCAGTCCCTGTTTTCAGCCCTCTGTTGGCAGGTTTCTGCTTTTCCAGATTATTACAGACGATACTTTGGCTTCTCCTAGCCAGAGCCACATCAAGCTGTGTGTTACAATTAAAGTCAGATGGTCCTCAGGTTGAACAGGGATATAATGTTGCAGCTGTCTCTCTTCCTGGAACAAACCAGCACCAAGAACAGATGATCTATAGGACAGTGAATAATAACAGATTATACAATACTCGGTGGGAAGCAGGGGATCACAGAATTAATTAACTGACACACTCATTTTAAGATGGTCTGCATGTCTTTTTTAAGTATTTGGCTGCTCAAATATTAATTCAGGGGGAATAGGATGCTTTAACAACATGGTTTTGTTGGTGAACCAGCAATGTTACATTTCCTGTTTGTATTAGAGGACTGTGACTATCATCTTACCCAACCATTTTCATCCTGAGAGCTTTCTGTAAGTAATGAGAGATCTAAATGTAGGATTGGTAAGTCGGTCAGATGATGGATTTATGTACAGAAGATAATATCCTGCAGAGGGAAAACTCACCTAAGTTTAACTGGTCTTTTGGGCAAATTCATGATATTTTTTTTCTTGTTGTGAACAGTTGGAATCACTGTCAAATAAAGCTGTTTTTCTCATATCCCTGAGATTGATCTGCATTACCTGAGCCAGAAAAAAAAATCCATTTTTATTCTAAATACCGCTTTAGAAATATAAATGAGAAACAGATTTTCCTATTTTAAAATAATATAAAAGTGTATTAATTCAGAGTGCTCATCATTTATCTCTTATGATATAATGTCAACATTGTGGAGCTATATTATATTGCCTCTGATGTTTCAAGCTGAGTAAGAGACAAAGAAAGACATGCTGTGATAAGTAATGAAAGGTCTGTTTCTGAAAGCTGACCATGTGAAGCATTTTGTTTTAGCTGAAGAATATATATATAATTATATATAAATATATATGTATATATTTAATTGAGTGCAAGAGGGTGCACTCTGTTCTCTGAGTAACTCCCTAAATGCTTGCAACTTCCAGACCTGGACCTTGCTAGGGTAAAGCTGAGAGCCAGGAACTCATTCCGAGTTGCCCCACGAGAGTGGCAGGAATACAGCTTCTTGAACTATCACCTGCTAACTTTAGGGATCTGCATTGGCAGGCAGCTGGAATCAGAGGCCAAAGGGGGGTCATCAAATCCTGATGCTGTTGATATGGGACATGAGTGTCCTAACCAGTAACTGACTCAGACACCTGCCCCCAAAGAATATGTAACTTACCCAAGTTACAGTCAAGTAAAGCAGTCATTGGGCAGGTGGTTAACTGGGCATGTATCTGTGGTCCCATCGTGCTCGACTCCCTGGCTGAGACATGATAGCCCTCTCTTTTGGAGGTTACTTCCTTTTGATAACTTGGTAGAACAAAACTTCTTGAGACCTGGAGGTAACAGGAGTCTAGAAAAAAAAATATCCTATTGACGGGTTGTCATGAGGTTACCCTTTACAGTCACATTTGATTTTGTGTGTTTTCTCCATGTTTTGTCTATACCATGAGATAAAGAAGACAAAATGCATGTGTTGGGCTTTTTTTTTCCTATTAGCTTCAGAAAATATCTGAGCAGATTAAAAGACATATAGTTTGTAGTGTTGTCTCCACCAATGCTTCTTCCTTCACAAATTCTCTTTGAGTTAAACTTTGATAGCTCTTGTATCTCTGTATGAAGTACTCTAGGCTTTCCTAACTTTCTTCTTTGAGTGGAAAATTTATGATTGTCATTTGATGACAGCTTAGTTGAGGCTAAGGATCTTAAGTCCCTGTTGGAAGAGTCTGTGGAAATGGCATTGTGAAACCGTTTCTGTTTTTTAAAAGGTTTATTTAGCTTTTATTTGAAAAGCAGAGTTACAGGGCTCAATGCAATGGCCTCATGGCTAAATTTTCACTTTCTAACTACCAGAATCCATATGGACACCAGTTCATCTCCCAACTGTTCCACTTCCCATCCAGCTCCCTGCTTGTAGCCTGGGAAAGCATTAGAGGATGGCCCAAAACTTGGGACCTTGCACCTGCACAGGAGACGCCAAAGAAGCTTCTGGCTCCTGGCTTCATATCAACTCTGTTTCAGCTATTAAGGCCACTTGGAGATTGAAAAGTTGAAGACCTTTTTTTTAAGTATTTATTTTATTTTATTGCAAAGCCAAATATACAGAGGAGGAGGCTAGACAGAGGAAGATCTTCTTTCGAGTGAATCACTCCCAAATGGCCGCTGTGGCCGGAGCTGAACTGATCCAAAGCCAGGAGCCTAGAGCCTCTTGTGGGTCTCCCACGCGGGTGCAGGGTCCCAAGGCTTTGGGCCATCCTCGACTGCTTTCCCAGGTCACAAGCAGGGAGCTGGATGGAAGTGGGGCCACCGTAAATAGAACTAGCACTCACTTGGATCCCAGCGCATTCAAGGCAAGGATTTAACTGCTAGGCTACAGCGCCAGACCCAGGATGGAAGATTTTTATCTCTGTCTCTTCTCTTTAAATCTACTTTTGCAATAAAAATAAACAAATTGGGCCTGGCGCGATGGTGTAGTGGTTAAGGTCCTCGCCTGGCACGCCTGGGATCCCATATGGGCGCCAGTTCTAATCCCGGCAGCCCCGCTTCCCATGCAGCTCCCTGCCTGTGGCCTGAGAAAGCAGCCGAGGACAGCCCAAAGCTTTGGGGCCCTGTACCCGCTTTGGAGGCC